GGTCTCTTAAGCAGGTATAGGAATACGGCCACGTGACGGATTCGTCCCCAACGGTTACGTTGTCACCCCGCGGTCAACTCATGCCAACGCTTTCGCGACGAACATGGAAGGACCTTGCCGAAACCACGTGATTTTGTAAGCAATGCTCATGTCACGCTACCAGCTGGAGGTTTACGGCTAGTAACGGCCTTGTGAGCTCACTAGCGTAACCAGGGTGCGATATTAAGTGCTTCTGACACCGAACTGGATTTCTCTGAAGACCCCAGTTCGGTGTCAGAAACACTAAGACGGTCTTGAAGGTCTTGAAGGTCCATGGAGTTGTGTAACTACTTAGTCCCACTGAACGATGTCCCCATGCATGATAAGAAGGAACCAAAATCTATGGTCGATGATGTAATGGTAAAATAGTCCGCATCAGCGATAGCAAGTGTCTCTCTGTTCATGCTGCACTGGACTGGATCTTAGAATGTTTGGCCTAGTGTTGCCTCCTCAGGGGAGAAGTGACAACGACGAACTTGGATGAGGTCTTGGCCATCACCAATGTGTAACATCATTAAAACGTGCAAGCCTTGCTCATGTTGCTATAATACATGTAAGGGCTGTTACGTTACGACCGCATCCATTCTGTAAGGGCATGGCCTTCTGGTATTATCACCTTTATTGGAATAATGAAATGCCCCTTTCTCCGATTTGCCGAATGCCCCCCCCCCTGGCAGGCCGCCTTAACGCCTTCCGCTCCAGCGTCCCATACTGAGAACACTACAAGCAGCGTCCTCGGAAGTATAAATCCAAACATGATGCTTCACGAGTGTGAGCTTCAAAACGAGTCGTTCTCCAGCCAAATAGTCCCACGTTCGAGTCGGAATGGTGTCAACCGATCTACGGCCTCGTCCGAACATTCTTTCTCTCCCTTATGCTCAATGATTTGCACATGAGAGCGGCATGACAAGGCTTGTCAGATGAAGCTCCTACTCGTGCATCTTCCCCTCTTCACTTGAGCATACCGATCGATATGAGGGACCCGATTCCACGCACGGGTTGGACTCTCAAGCCAAGCTCGTGAATCACCACTTTGAAATTTGTCGCTTTAAAGCAAAGCACTTCTACGACGAAGATTTGCGATCATATGTGATTGTCTTGCTGACCCGAAGCGACTCGTTTGATTTCAATATATCTATTCAGTTTCGTGACTCCATCACTAGAACGACCCCCAGCTGGAACATGCTCTTCAATAATCTTTAGGAAGGGGTGTACCAGCTTTGAGACGATGTAATTCCAAATGATAGAAGTTTCCCGTAAGAGCGTCAAAAGCCTTCACTTGATCAACACAACAAGAAAGAAGATAAACGGCACACGAATGGCAATTCATCAGAAGGGCAGGTAAAACAGAAAGAACACACTTGGCAGAGAAATGACTAGAATACTTCACCTGAGTATTAGTATATTAAATCACCACTAAGCTTGAATATCACAAGAGCATGGGATATTAGTACCCGAGCATACTGATGGATTAGACCAGTATTTACAGTAGCTACCACTGTACTGGGAACAACAGAAGTTGTCACCATTCGCGCAGCTAAACGGAGTTGTTGAAGGTGCAGCTGAGGTACTCGTCATCGATCCACTTGTGGTAGTGGTTATAACCTCATCACATGAGCATTCGATATTGGAGCCAGAGCAGATCCGTGGAACTTCCCAGTATTTACAGTAGCTACCGGGTATGTATGAACCGCACTGCTCATCACCGATGATACAGTCGATCGGCTCACAAGCTGTAGTAGTAGCAGGAGTAGTGGTTGTAGTAGTAGCAGGAGTGGTTGTAGTAGTAGCAGCAGTGGTTGTAGTGGGACAAGTAAAGGAAGCCGGGAAGGGCCATACGACGAACCTATCGGGATTCGCATTATAATCCCAGATTGTGGTACCCCAATTGAAACTGAATCGGAGGCATCCATCGTCAGCATTAACAAACTGGTCAATACCGTGACCGGTGCCGCAGCCTCCTGCAAGTAATGTGGCTTCTCCATCGGGGGTGTTGACACAATGGACATAAACAGCGGCATCACCATATCGATAGATGATACTGTCAGGGTAAACATCATACAACCAGTGAACGACATCGAAACCGAAACGTCCATTAATGGTGAAGTTGAACTTGAACACTCTCGTAGGACTTGAAGGCTCCCACTTCACAATACGATACTCCTCACCGGTGACAAGTTGAGAGATGTAGAGATAACCTTGCATAGATCTCACACTTTGGGGATGATACAATGCATATCATCATCAATTGCCTTACCATCAGCATTACCAGCGACGAGTTTTT